AATATTTTTCAGAATAGAACGTTCGTCGCTTTGGTCTACTTTTGGTTATATTACAGCAAAAAAGTTGTCCACCTCCCTTATGTTTGGAAAGCATGGACTTTATCAAGTATGCTAATAAACCAATAATAATAATAATAATAATAAATATCAGTGATATTAAATCAAAATAAAAAGTAAATTAGGAAAACCCAATAATATTTCAATGATTGACATGGGATTTTGTGACCGTGGCAAATTGTCCTATTCAGGTCATTTTTAACAAGTGGTTTAAAATAGACTTTGTAATGGCAATAAGTTGTGATTCAAGTGGTTACAGTTCTGAGAACTACAAAAAACGGATTAATTTCAGAAATCGTGATTTGCTTTTGCATAGCTATTTTTATAAAACTCCTTGTTAGCAGCTTTAGTATTTCCTCATATGCTGTTCAGATCTCAGAGGAAATCGCATCTAGCATTAGCAGCATTTTACTGTTTGAAGAAAGAACTGTACATCCCAGATTTTGTACTCTTTGGGACCATCTGTACAAATGTTTGACAGCCCATCTGTACTGACCCATACTCCTGTATTCGTGTGGATCTTCATAATATGATCACTATTGATGTATTTAGGGTAATTTGTGCTGTAAAAGAGAAAACATTTGTTCTCCAATGGTTTCAAATGCACAATGTCCACTTTTGTTATAAGGTTTTTTACAGCCTCAGCTGATTTGCAGAGAGTTTATTTTTAACATTCAAACTATATTTTATTCCAGTCTTATATGATAGATAGACAGATAGATAGATAGATAGACAGACAGATAGATAGATAAATAGATAGATAGATAGATAGATAGATAGATCGATCGATCGATAGATAGATAGATAGATAGATAGATAGATAGATAGATAGATAGATAGATATTAAAACATGATGGGGAAAGGAATTTCAAAAGAACCATTTGCTCTGTTTACTCATGGTTTATCTTAAGGTCTGAGTGGAAATTAATAATTTGTTGTAGTAGCAATAACGCAACATTTTCATCCTTTTGTGTCAATACTTGTAAGAACATTGAAAGGATCACTATAGCATTAAGAATACAAATCTGTCTTCCTAATAGTTAAGTGTCCCTCTGCCTCCGCGCCCTCCCCCACCCCCAATCGATGATAAAAGGGTTAAAAAACCTTTTATTATTTAACTGTTTCAAGTACTGTGGTCCCTTGGCACTGGACAGATCGATTCCCGTGATGTCACACTGCTGGGGAAAGCTAATGTGAATATGCGGGGAGTACAACGCATATTAGACCTTCCCTATAGGAACGAATTGAATTGATGCTTTTCTATGGGGTTTTGAAGACACTGGACATCTTCTTGCAAAGCGTGCAGATGTCTAATGTTGTCTCATGACGCTAAACTCTATGAGAATGCAGGAATTGCCTATAGTGGCTGACTGGAAGTCCTAACCGTGCAATGTGAACATTGCAGTTTCTTTTTAACTGCGATGTTTTACATTGTAGGGTTAAGAGAAGGGGAACACTACATCTGGATCACTTTAATAAGATGAAATGGTTTGGGTACCTATAGTATCCCTTTAAACATTCTGAAATAGCATATAGTAATGTGCAACAAAACACATGGAATTAAGTAAATTACAGAATGAAACGGGATGTTGCCAAATCATATCGCAAAATAATTCCCAGTTCTCCTCTATATGACCATACACTCCTCTGTGCAGACCCACCTCTCCCATCTATGCAATCCCAAATTGCCTCTACAAATTATGTCCATATCTCCACTTAATGTGGAATAGTATCCTGCATTAATGGCATATGATATGCAGACTATCAAATCACTCTTTGAAAAAAATATGTATATTTTTCCTGGAAAGACATTTTTGTGGCCATGTATAAGACACGTTTACTGTACTTCTTCCAGGATGATAAATCACATCAAAATAGCTTAACTCGATTACGGTAACAAAGAAGCAACAAGTTAATTATTTAGCAAGGATAGAAAAGTCAATAACTAGATGCATAAATTAGTCACAAAAAGAATGGCTTATTGTAGTTTGTTCTTGAAATATCTTAATTAATGCTCTCGAAGATGTGTCATCATCAGGATATTCTGAATGACACCGCCATAGCCTAGTATGTTAATTATCAACCTTTTCAAACAAATAAGAATCACAAGTAACAGGCCGTACCAACAAGTAATTTCATAAATACCCTATATTATACCACAAGGTGGGTAAATGTTTCCCAGATGCATGTTTATTCTTTCTTTAGTGCTGTATGCAAACTCTGCATACTTTGTTGTGTCCTTCCTTCTAATCATCTAGAAACACGGTTCTCCAAACTCTGGCCCTCCAGATGTTGCTGAACTACAACTCCCATGATTCTTTGAATAAGAAAGATAGCCAGAGAATCATGAGAGTTGTAGTTCAACAACATCTGGAGGCCCAGAGTTTGGAGAATCCTGAATTCTAGAACAATGACAAAAATATCTCCCCAAGTAAGTGGTTCTCCATTTGATAAGAAAGATACATCACATTTATGTTGTCGTGGAAAACTGACTACATTATGGTTTTTTTTTTTTTGGTTTTTTTTTAGAGTAACAGTGTATTTCCCAAAGTGATATAGACACTGGGAATATGTCAGTGAAGGTGTTTTGCAGGACACTCTTCACCTACTACTCCCATATGGCATGCATGTTTTGTTAGATTGAAATGCTTGTCTTGTTTGTCTATTGTACAGCACTGCTATATATGTTGGCACCTTATAAATAGTTGTAATTGTAAATAGCAAAAATGAATGGGTGCAAAAATATTATTATTTTCTATTCAAAGAAAGGGTTTGGGTCCCTCTTCATTGCACAAAGCACTTATTTACTGTAGTAAGCCCTTAGTGTATAGTATTCATATTACAACAAGGTCTAAAATTTATAAACAAAATATGCACCCACTGTATAAATACAATACATATCTTGAAAGTTTTTAGCAAGATGGTTTTGTGTCACTGAAAATGAAAATTATAATACATGGCCTGTGATACTGATTAGTACTCTCCTAACAGATAATTCTGTACAAGGGAATATTCTATATTTATTCAGTTATTCAAGAGACCTGGCTCACAACATTAACCCATTATCTTATGAGCATACAGTATATTGTAGTACATTATGTTCCGTGAGTTGTAAAAGCCAATATTAATATAATAACAGCTACTGCTAATGAATATTTCATTTTGGAATAAATAATCTAGTAGTTAGATAATCCACTTATCCGTTTGTATTGCTTCTCTGTCAGTAGAAGGTTTGTGTAAAGCTGAGACATGACGAGTGTTGAAATTAGCTATAGATGTCTAAGACTTTCGGGGCAATGTAATAACCAGTCGCAAACAAAAAAATAATCATAAAAATGAACGGTGTATATTTATTTTTTTAAAAGTTGCAACATTGAACATTTCATATGTTGTTCCTTGTTTGCACTTTCATTGTCAAAAATCAGTAAGGATATAATTACACCTCTTTGATTAATAGCGTATTCATATGCACAACATAGATATCACTTTTATAAAACGGCATGTTCAAGAAACACATTAGCAGTTTTTTGAGGGGTGTTACATCAGGTTAGCTAATGAGTTAAAATAATTCTAAATTGAAGATGTTTTTGCACTAGCAACTTGCAATGTGATTAGCTACGACAGATTTAAAAAAAAAAATTTAACCTCTTTTTTTTTTTTTACATTTAACTACTAGGACATACCACAGTTGATGTCAGTTGTTGATCCTCTATTCCTTTGTTTTGACATTAAATAGTTAGATCACACGGGGGGCGTGGCTTGGCGGTCCGAGAAAATGGCAGCATAATCCTCGAGCTCCCCGCAGGCTCAGCTCATAACCTCGGCGAAACTGCACCCTGACCGCGGTGATGGGGAAAACCCACCGAGCCTCACATGCCCAACGACCGGGGGATGCCCCAAAGGGAACCCCGACCCCGACAATGAAGCGCTACCTGCTCACACAGGCGGACATGGATCCGCAGGCCTCAAATGACTCCATGGAGTCGGCCATTTTCTCCCCACACTCCCCTACGAGAGAACAGACCCCCACTACAGGGGATACCGCAGTACCAGACCTGGTGGCCCTACTGAAGGACTTACCCACCAAGGCAGACCTCAGGACGGCCAACGCAGAACTGCGCACATCGATCACATCGGAACTCCACGCGCTGAGGGAAGACTTCCAAGGCCTCAACCAGCGAGTCGCTCAGATCGAGGCGGACTGTGACCACATGGCGGCGGCACAGGCTGCCAATACCGACACGCTGCAGCACCACACTACAGTGATGAGACAGATGGCCCTGCATATAGAGGACCTCGACAATAGGGGGAGACGCCAGAATATCCGGGTGAGAGGGGTCCCAGAGGAATTAGACAGTAAAGCCCCGGTACAGAGCACCTTGCTGGAGCTGTTCAACAGGCTCCTAGCTAGGCCGTCCCAGACGCACATGGGCTTCGTTAGAGCCCACAGGGCCCTGAGGCCACAAGGACCCCCGGGCGGGCCTCCAAGAGATATCATCTGCTGCATGGAGAGTTTCCAGCTCAAGGAGGAGATCCTGCGTAAGGCACGTGCCACAGAAAAGGTACTGCTAGACGGATCAGAAATCCAGCTATACCCAGACCTGTCCCCAGCTACATTGGCCTACCGGCGGGCCCTGAAACCCCTTACCAGGCAGTTGCAGACCGCAAATATCAGGTACCGCTGGTGCTTCCCCACGGGCCTTCAAATTGCAACACCCTCTGGCCCCTTCGTGGTCACGGGAGCAGAAGATCTGGAGACGATCCAACGTGAGCTGCACCTGTCGCCGGAGAAGCTTCTTTGGCCGAACCCGCTACGTTTCTACACAGAAGGCCCCAGGCCCCCAGGCACAGGCCCCAAACCCCGCAGGCTGCGGGCCCCCCGCACACAGACGACAAGACAGGCGGGGACACCGAATTAAATAAGCCGCCTGCCCTGCCGCCCCCCGGGACTATGACCTCGTGAACCATGCCATGAACGGGATGACTTATTTTTTCTTGACGCCTTGAAACCTTACTGCACCAACCAAGAGACATACAGCTGGGCTCTCACCTCCGGGCCCTATGTTCGTGAGGAAGCGGAGGGGCCGTAGACTTCCACCCTTGAGCCTGATGACAACGCACCCTTTTTCCTCGCCCATGCCGCAAGTATTACCCCGGGACGTGGGGGGGCATGGGAGTACCGTGCTTCCCCACTGCCCGAGAACTTTGAGCCGAGCAGGGAGGGGGAGGAACCGGGGGACCCTACGCCGGATAGAGTGACACTCCCTGCATGGGTCGGGTACAGGGAGAAGGGGATGGACGCTCTTGAGCCCTGGACCTTTATGTATATGACCTAGGAGTAGTAGGCCCCGAGGTATACACCCAGCCAACCCTCATAGACACACCAAGATATGTGGCCCCCAGGCAGGTTATGCTGAGATGCGCTGGGAGGGCTTTAGGCTACCACCACCTAGCCATTCATGGGGGTCAGAGGAGCCCATTGCACTGGATCAAGCTTTTCTAACTTCCCTCGAACCTTGGCACGGAGGGCTGGGCGAGGGCTCTAAGACAGGCCATTGTAGGGTCACCCTGACACACATCCGCATGACTAGGGCGATTATCGCCCAACTGGGAGGGAATAGACCCAGACTGGGGCATTTCATGTCGCCTGGGGGCGGCAGGCAGGCAACTCAATATAGACTAACAACATCAAGTCACACCTGTGGGCCGGACGACCCACCGGCAGCTGTCATGACACAGACCATGCACACATTATCCTATAGAGGTTTTCCATAAGCTACATTCCCAACTTGGAGAGCCATGAGACGGGGAGACGGGATGTCCCGACTGGACGGAGCGCCGGGGCTCGTAGTGGAACGTGACGATCTTTCTGGGAGCGTCCCGGGCCCGCGGGGCTCTGCCTACTTGGGGTTTTTTGGGCTCCTTTGCTACCCTATTGGCCGGAGCGTTCAGACTTGGGTGCGCGGTGCACTCCCCCTACCTAAGGGAGGGGGGGACTCACTGCTCCCCCAACGCTCGAATCCATACCCGCCGTATACGGCGACACTAATCCGTACCCGGTCCCTAGACCTAGAGGGTGCGATCCTCCCCTTCTTTCCCTCAGACCTACCCAGTTTTCCCCCGAGATTCCCCACCCCATACTTTCTATACCTGACTACAGGACGGACTTTTTTTATACCTGACTAACGGACGGACGAACCTACGTCACCTCTGAGTGATAGACTCAAATCCAGCATGTCCCTGCAACCGGCCCCCCTCACAATATTCACGCTGAACGCTAGGGGACTCAACACGCCAGAAAAAAGGGCCGGGGCTCATAAGGATTTCAGGGCGGCCCACGCCTCCATAGTGTTTCTACAAGAGACCCACTTCCGGGCAGGCTCACGACCCACACTGACTAATCAACACTATCCAAAAGGATACTACAGCGACTTTCAGGGGGGTAAGTCACGGGGCACGGCGATCCTCCTACATAGACACCTCCCCTTCACAGAAACAGGGGTCATGACAGACCCAGAGGGCCGCTTCCTATTCCTCAAGGGGACGATCGCGAACACAACATATACCTTTGCCAATCTCTACGCCCCTAACCGCGGGCAATATAAATTCCTGGCCAAGACGCTCCGCACACTTGTAGGCTTTCAAGAAGGCATCTTGATAATAGGCGGAGACCTGAATGTAACATTGGACCCCAAATGGGACTCCTCCTCAGGTCACTCACACATTTCATTGCAATATCTTACGGCCATTAAAGCTCTCCTGACTAGAGCGAAATTAGTGGACTGTTGGAGAGCATTTCACCCTGACGAAAGGGACTTCACCTTCTACTCCCACCCCCATAACTCCTACACCCGCATAGACTATCTCCTAGTTCCCAGCCACCACATACCGTTGGTCCTACAGGCAGACCAGGGCACCGTGACATGGTCAGATCACGCACCGGTGACCATTAAACTACACTCCCCCCTCCATAGACCCAAGATCTCCAAGTGGAGGTTAAATGAATCACTGCTCACTAACCCAACGGTCACATCTGACATTGGGAAGACACTGCGGGATTACTTTACAAACAACACCTGCGAACAAACCCCCCCCACCATACGCTGGGAGGCACACAAGTGTGTCATAAGGGGGCATTTTATTCAAAAAAGCTCACTCCTGAAGAAACAGAGAGAGGCCCGCATGGCCGCTCTGCTATCAGACATAGAACAAGCAGACACACTTAACAAACAACACCAACTCCCCACACACCAGGCCAAACTCCTCCGCCTTAGGAGGGAACTGACCACTCTCCTCCACTCAACTTATCAAAGGGACGCATTACGAAACAGGGCCTTCTTTGCAATACACGGAAACAAAAGCGGAAAACTTCTAGCGCGCATGCTGGCCAAAAGGAGACAAGACACGTATATAGATAGAATCTGTGACAAGGCAGGGGTCCTACACAGACACCCGGCCAAGATCCAAGAAATTATTCGCACATATTATGCGGAACTCTACTCCCTCCCACGCCCACACACAGACGCACAGTCACGCTCCCTACGGGCCTCAATAGACGACTACCTACAGACCCATAGGCTTCCCTCCCTGGAGGCTGACACGGCAGATCAACTAGACGAACCAATATCCATGGGGGAACTAGCACTCGCCATCAAATCCATGAAACCGGGTAGGAGTCCAGGCCCCGATGGCCTGCCTCTCAAATATTATAAAAGCTATGCCGAGACCCTGTATCCCCCACTACTGGCCATGTTCAACGCCATCAGGGAGGGACATGAATTACCCACACAGGCACTCATGACCCATATCACCATAATTCCGAAAGAGGGCAAGGACAGGGAGCACTGCGGGAGCTTCCGGCCCATATCCCTCATAAACAATGACATTAAACTACTGGCCAAGGTCTTGGCGACCCGGCTTCAGGAGCACAAGCCCTCTCTGGTCCATGTGGACCAGGTGGGGTTTGTGATGGGCCGGGAAGCCAGAGACGACACCATCAGGGCCCTCACGATTATGCACAGAAAATAAGGGGACGACACAGGCCTTCTCCTGCTATCCACGGACGCGGAGAAGGCCTTTGACAGGGTCTGTTGGGAGTATATGTTCCAGGCATTGTCACACATGGGAATGGGACCATACCTGCGGGGATGGGTTAGGGCCCTATACACTCACCCGACGGCGCATGTGCTGGTCAACGGGGCACCCACAGAGGCGTTCCCGATATACAACGGCACGCGACAGGGGTGTCCATTGTCCCCACTACTGTTCGTTCTGGCTTTAGAACCCCTACTAACCGCAATCCGTCACCACCCAGACATCAAGGGGGTACACATAGGAGACACACACCATAAGCTAGCCGCCTATGCGGATGACCTACTATTCTTCATAACCCACCCGGAAGTCTCCCTTCCCAACTTAGTGCAGGAGTTTCAGGCCTTTGGAGGGCTTTCGGGGTACAAGATTAACTTCTCAAAGTCGTATATCTTAAATTTAAGCATCCCCGCAAGGAGATCCGCACAGCTCCAACGGAGCTTTGCGTTCCAATGGGCCACAGACAAAATCCGATACCTTGGCACTTGGCTGACCGTTAAGGAATCGGAGTTATTCACAGCGAACTTCGCTCCGATACTAGCTAAGTTCCGTACAGACATGAGGGACTGGGCCCTCCCGCACATCTCCTGGCTGGGTAGAATCCAAGTAATAAAAATGAACTTTCTACCGAGACTGCTCTACCTCTTCCAGGCCCTGCCCATCACGATCCCATCCTCTTTTTTCGCCACGCTCCGGCAGGCTCTAGGGGCTTTTGTTTGGGACGGGAGGAGACCCAGACTGAAATACACACTGCTAACTCAACCCAAACACAAAGGGGGTCTGGCTCTACCGGACTTCCGACTATACTACAAGGCATGCCACCTGCAACGTGTTGCGGAGTGGTCCAAGACTGGGGTCAACAAACTATGGAAACAGGCAGAGGAGGGGATAGCTAAGCTCCCAGCCGCCCTTATCCCGTGGCTCCCCGCGGGGACGGACGGAAGGGAAGCGCATTACTCCCCGTATACGAAAGTAACTCTGAGGATATGGCGAGGCAATGCCGGTAGACACGCGCTTTCCGCACACCCGTCCCCATTGCTTCCCCTCACACATAACCCTGACTTCCCGCCGGGCACGGACCCTAGGGCACTGCGGGCCCTGGTGCAGGACCCAATGCCAAGGCTGCACCATGTGTGCTCCGGTCAGGGGCTGAGGACCTTGGCTGACTTATGCGGGGGTCACACACAACCATTCGCAACCCACTTCCACTACGCACAGCTGACGAGCTACATAAAGACCCTGCCCCGCGCAGGAGCCATTACTAGGGAACTCACCGCCTACGAACAGATATGCGCAGACCCTGACCCACTGCCACATGGCATCTCGCACCTCTACGCCCTCCTACAAACACTCACACCCATGACCGCGCCACGCTTCATGGGGAAATGGGAAGAGGCCCTCAATCACACATTTAGTGGGGCTGACTGGGAAAAGTTCTGTGAGGTCACCCACCATTGCTCCATTTTTAGCAAGAGTCAGGAGACAGCATATAAAATACTCACGCACTGGTACTGTACCCCGGACACGACTCAATACACGCACGCTCACGGGTCAAGCCTATGTTGGCGGTGCGCAAAGACAACAGGTACACCCCTACACACTTGGTGGGCATGCGAACTCGTACAACCATTTTGGAGGAAAATTCATAAAATAGCTTCCCGCTTCACTGATAACCCACCACCATTAGACCCGGCAGCAATGCTGCTCCACCACACGACTATACCAATTTCTAAATACAAAAAGTCCCTTACAATTCGAATTCTAAACATGGCCAAGCAGACTATACCACAATACTGGAAGAAAACAGAGACCCCTTCCATACTTAAATGGTTTACGCACATGGAAGAGCTACGAGCGGTAGAAGAGCTCGCCATGTCAGCTACTGAAAAACAACATCAGACATACTTAGACATCTGGACCCACTGGATACTGACCACGACGACACAAGACTTCCTGACACTGCTCCATACCTAATGACAGGGAGTTACACCGGCTGGATAGACACATGGACGACGGATAGACCCTCTTCCTCCTTCCCTACGCTTACCTTACCCCCCACTTACCCTCCCATATACTAAAATGGGGGATACCACCCAACTGTCAAAAAGTCCAACAGACAGGGGCAACATCCCCCCCAGTATGCATATCCCCCTCCGACATGGGACCCCTGCCCACTATATCACCACAGTCCGTCAATGACTAAGGTCCTCATTAGATGTGACCTCTTAAGAACAAGTCATGACTGGACCGCAATAGTCCCTCTCTCACATAAGGATAATACAACTATGTATACCTGAACACTAGAGGGGCAATAGCGGGGAGGGCAGCAGACAGCATAGAAGTAGGCAAAGTGCCCAGCCCAAGGGGCTGACAAACTGGACGAAGATGGATGATCTGCCCCAAACAACATGGGAACGCGGGATTAATGAGAATTCTCTGGGGGGGGGTGGGGGACTCTATCAAATTTAGCTTTACCGTTGACTTAAGGGACCTGTGAGTCCGACTTTGTTATTGGGCCTGCGTGCCCGCCTTGTTGCATGTTTTCCTTTTTGTTTTTTCTGTTTTTTACTAATACACTGAATCCAACCTACAGACCTGCGTGTCTGCACAATAATTACCTTTTATTCCCAATTACAGGAAATAAAAATTATATTTACAAAAAAAAATAAAAAAATAGTTAGATCACACAATGCATGTGCGGGCATCTCTCAAAAATATGTATAATAACATATATAACATACAATGACATGTTACTCATATAATAACATATATTAGTCTATTAAATGTTAATTCACCTTTCTCCATAACTGTAACGGCCCCCCCAGGCACACAAGGGGTTACACAGCCATTTAGAGAATATTCCCTTCCAGATACACAGGCAGCTACTGCAAGCACCGATCTCCCGAACTGGAAACACACAAATTCTCCAACTCCCGAACTGGAACCATACGAATGCTGTAAACAGCCGAACAAGAAAAACCATACGAACAGTTTACACTCCTGGCAGTTGAACTGTAACAGAATACAATCAAATCCCCCCTAAGAAAGAGACGACACTTCGTTTTGAGGGTCAAGCAGTGATCTGTTTAATCTGGACTACCTGCCCGGTATTTATGCAGGTCTTCCACCTGGTGGACACCCCCATAGGGGACCTGGTGGGACACGGGACACAAACTGGACAGTAACCAATCAGGACAGTTTAACCTTAACCACTCCCACATGCACATTGTAATCCCTCCTCTCTATCCTGGAGATAATTGGGAAGTAATCCAATTATCTCCAAGGACAGAGGCAAAACTCCATTAGCCACATGTTAGTAAAAAGACATAAAATTAGAGTGTTACAATTACTACATAAAACATATACATTCAACATATCCCCAGAAAGCTTAGATCTGAGCGCACATTATTACCGAATGGCGCTCAGATCACATACATACAGTTCAATCGCCATGGAGCCAAAGTCTTTCATATAGTCTTTCGTTACACGAATGGGCTCCATGCCATAGCTATCTGGGGTAACACTGCTCATATAGGGAAAGTACCGAACGGATGGCGTTTGTATGAATTGCAGGAGAAGGGAGGTTGGCGGCTCAGCGGTGTTCGTGCAAATAAGTGTCCGTTTTGAGTTCCATAGATTTGAAGCTGAACACCGCTGGCCTTTCGGGAGTTTAAGATGGCCGCTGCCACGTGTTCGGTTATACGAACAGCGGCCACCCAGCGTTCACCAATTAAGCTGCAGTTAACTGCAGCTTCTGGGAGGTAAATCCCTGGCACACTCCTTGCCCAGGTGGTCCCCC